CCTTGGATCTACTGGTTCTGAACCTCATGAGTGAAGTCTAGGAATCTACATTTGAAAAGCCTACCATGTCATTCCAAAACATTGTCACCTTGAGAAGCACTACTTTGGAGTTAAGATCTCTGATCCTTTTACTTCTAAAGTTATGTACCCTCAATATATGCTAGCAAAGTCAGAAACCTATAAAGGTTTTTTTTTTTTTTGAATCATGGGCATTTGAGATGAAATTGGACTTTGTGGAAAATTAATCCTGTGAATAAAAGGAATGGGGGGAGATTTAAGAAGTAGTATATTAATTTGAAGGCCTTCAGCTTACTTCAGATGAGAAAGATGGGTTCAGATGAGATGATGGGCAATAGACCCAGCATCTGGGAAGAAAAACTCTTCATAAAATCAATCCTAGCCTGATTTGGGGAGGTTATAAAACAAGCTCAGCAGGTTTAACATCTAAAAAAACCTCTTCTTTGGTATTAATTTTTCTCAACTGTTAGCATTAATGTTAATTAGTGTTAATATACATAGATAGTAATTTTACCATTAATACATTTTCCACCACCATTCCTTATACACCTTTGAATCTGTCCCACCCTCTCCCTGTTAACCTTAGAAAATTTACTTTGTTCATTAGTGCCCACTAGTTTTTATAAGTATTTTTCTTGGTCAAATTGTGTACTATGTAAATATCCACTATTTGCCTTTGCCATACTGATTTATTTAACTACACACAATAGCCTCCAGTTCCTTCCATTGCTTTAATGGCAGCATTTCAACTTTCCTAGTATTCTATTGTGTGGGTAGACACATCTTCTTGATCCAGTCCTCAACAGTAGATATTAAGGTTTTTTCTAGTGTCTGAGCTGTTATAAATAATGCTGCAATAAACATTATAAAGCATACAGCTTTTGAGTTGATGGTTTCATGCTCCTTGGTTAGGCACCCAGGGGTGGAATTTGCTGGGTCATACAGTATTTTCATTTTTAGTTGTTTTAGGCAAGTGCTGTTTATTTTCCAAAATGGCTGCAGTAGTTTACATTCCCAACAAAAGTGTAACATATTTCTTTATGCACTTCCTCTCCAGCACTTATTCATTCAGAGTCTTTTTATATGTGCCATCCTCACAAGTTTGAGATTTCATCTGGTTTTAACCTGCACCTTACTTATTAAAAGCAATGATAAATTGATATTTCTGGTTGGTGACATTGTGTTCACACACAAGACTTTCAGATTTGTTTGAGGCTGATGAGCATTTCCTAATTCTTAGCTCCAGATATTATCTATTAAGATATGTGGAGATAATTTGATATCCATTTTGGCTTATTTGTAAGCTGTGTAAAATAATAAAATATAAGATTTGGGTTTTCGTAAGGTGTTTGAAGGACAATGAATATATTTTTAATATGAAGAATCATGCTAGGAAAAATGATTGAGAAAAACGTGTACATTTAGAAACTCTATTTTTGAAGGTCATTGACCAAATTATTGTATATCAAAATGCCAGTGCAACTTTCAATGGGAGCTTGTATTCTTATTTGACTTGTATTATTTTTTTTCCTGTTGTGAGTGAGAAAGGAATTATTTGAATGACAAAGCTTATTACCTTAGGAATAGAAAAATTATCTAAATTGTGGGTCAGAAGTCGACCTTTTCTTTTTATCATTTCCATTTTCAAACAATTAGTCTCTTACTGTGTACTCTTATTATATTAATTATGTAAATGGGCTAAAATCATTGTACTAATCATGTAAATAGGCTAAAAGTGACAATAATTCTACTTGGTATATTTTTTCATTCCAAGTCCCATCGTTTCTTACTAAGAGTGGTTCACCTGTTCAAATATTGTTTGTTCTATGGTTTTTAAAATCTGTTTTATAGAACAAGTTTTGAGTAGCTCAGAATCTTTTCTTTTCCTATAAATATTCTAACCTTAAAAGGTTTGGAAAGGACGAAACCATGATTTTACTCTTTGGAATGGCTTATAACCATTTTAATTTTAAGGAATCTCAAGCTGTGGACACAACTTACAACATATTAGTTGAAATTGCCATGTTGTTACAAATACCCACACACTAAGTGCAACCAGATGTAGCATATAGAAAAATACCCAAACCAATTACTTTACATACAGAGAGGGATGCTGCCGAAAATTCATCCAAGTATCCCTTTACGTTTATACATTTTGAAAATGTTCTGTCTAAATTCTAGCAGTATAGAAAGCACCTGTTCCCGGGCTTTTGTTCAAAATAATGTTTGGGCCACAGGGAACAGATTTGCGGTGCAAACGGTCTTTAAATTAGCAGAGGCAGCAAATTTCCTTAGCTCCATAGGTGAAGTGAATTCTCTCCCAAGTTGAGTAAGAGAAGAAGAAAAGGTGACTTCTGCCCTGTATAGTGCCAGGTGCAACATAAATAAAGCAGCAAGTTACTTTAAATCTTTCTTAAGATAATGGAACAATAGCTGAGGTTAGGGTTATTATCACAGAGCTCAGATATGGACAGAACTTAGTGTTGCTTTTAAAAGAACTAAATTGCAGGCTGCAGACGTAAGTACAGTATGCTGTTAAAACTTTGCAGATACCTGAATGTTGCCCACAAGGAGGCTTGCTGGCTGAGACGATTGATAGATGGGATAATGGAGCCTTTAATAGCTATATTGCTAAGTCTTTTCCATCCCAGGTTGGTAGTGACTGAAAGTGGTTTAATTCTTTGGATAGAAAATTGATCCTCTGTGATGTGAATATTCCTCCCCTAACCCCCCAAGCTTTCTCTGTAGCTCTCTTTGAAGCAATAAAAAAAATCTTTTTCTCCATTTTTCCTACCTTCAACTTTTAATGACTCCTCTCACCCTTTTATGGTCTTACCTGCTTTAAGTAGTGAGTCAATCTCAAGTACACAGCCACCCTGCCCCTTAGATTGCTTACCCTGTCCCTGGCAAATTTGAGAAAGTGGTTTTCTTTTTGCTTTCTTTCATCTCTCTTAAGACGTAAACGGTATCTGCTGTCATTTCACAGTAGATCTCCATGCCTTGACACAGAAATGCCTTCTTAGTTGACAGCTTTGCAGTACATGTTTCTCCAGTTCCCTGTATCCAGCTACCTTGGCTACAGATCTGGAGAAAGTGATCTTATAGGAAAACTGTACTCTTTACTCGGGGCAAATGCCTCTGCTGCAAGGTGTGCCCATTTCTTTCAGTTCCCTGGTGGTGGATTATCATGAATTATTTTTGTGTCATTAGCACAAAGGGCTTGGCTTGTTTTCTAAAGCTACTCTCTTATTTTCAATGTATCTGCTGCTTTAGATGGGGAAAAATAGATCCAAATATAGGTTAGGAAAGATGAGATGAACACAAATAATTATGACCCAAACATATGTCTATGAAAACTTTACGAGGAAGGTGGGAATGCCCTGAAGGGTTTTCAACCATCACTCACATCATTAATAGCAATAAAGGTTTTTAATATTCAGAGCCCATAAGAGTTTGGCTAATCGTTATAAATATAGCCTGTGAACAGGGAAAGGTAGAGGGATTGGAAGGCAGGAAAGATAGGCCAAAGTTAATTTTTGATTAAAAGTTATACAATAAGTCTACTATTGAAAAATAACTACCAATATCAGACTGCTCTGTTTTAAACAAAGTCAGCAATTTACACCCTTTACACAATTTAATGGCATAAAAATTAATTGCTACTCCCTAGCAAATCTTTAAATTACCATTTTATCAGGATACAGAATTTCTTTGGGGCTCATGGCACATGCAAATTGTTAAAAATTCTAACTCTCAAAGGAATATCTGTTCTTCTTGTTATCAGCATCTCTGTCATCATTGTTGTTATCATAGTTTTACCCAAAACACAAGAACCTTTTGTAATTTATATTTGTTTTTTTTTTTTAAAGATTTATTTATTTGTGCATACAGAACTGGGGGACAGGCCAGAGGCTCAGGGGTGGTGAGAGGCTTCACCAGAGACAGAGCAGGGAACAGAACAGGCAGATCGACGAAGTACACTGCTGAGGGGAGCAGCGGGCTGGTCAGGAGAGGTCTGCCACGCTATGTGGTCACCTCCCGGGCAGGCGGGAATCAAACTCATGCGGAAGCAGCTTTAGATTCTCAGTGCTGTGATTTAACCCGCTGCGCCACCAGGGAGGGCCTATATTTGTTTTTTACACATGCCCTTTAAACTATGTGTAAATGTGAATTTTTGTTTTTCATGAATTAAGTAAAAACTCACTCTAAATGATCATTTAGACTATGTATACACATATATGAATAGATATTTTATTGCCTATCTTAATTTGAAAAATAAATGATTTTATTTATTGAAAAACAATCTGGAAAACATCCTTAATGTTTTATACTATTAAGTGATACCAAAATTCTATAGTTTTCCAAAGATTTATATATCTATATATATATATAGATATGTATAGATACATATATTTCTATGTGTATAAATTTTAATGTATCTTAAGTAGCATCTCTGTATAATCATGAATGCCGCTCATTTACAAAAGCAACCATTCAGAGTTTTCATATGGTTTTAAAGATAAACCAGGAAAGGATTCACATAATATCATGGCCCTCCAGTGTACAGTGTAATTATTGTGTGTGTGTGTGTGTTTTTTTTTTTTTTTCTGTTTTGCACTCTCTATCATTATCATGGCCTTGGCAGCCTTGGCTATTTTTCTATTTAAAAAGTCATTGTTTGTCACCAATTTCATCACAAACAAAGCTAGGGTTATTATAATTTGGACTCTTAAAACCATTATTGCCTTGTTATCTGGCAAATCTCCAGATTTATTACAATGAGGCTTATCTATGTGTTTCCATGTCCAGATGTTAGTTTGTTGTTGTAGTTGTTGATGCTGTTTTATTTGAAAACATGTACTTCTTTCTGGATTATAAATTATCTCTTTCTGCATTTCCTTGGACTCTAGATATAATATTCTATTTTGGCCATGGGAATGGATAATATACTGGCATAGTTTTTAAAAGTCAGAATTGCCCATTGTAATACATTTCCACAATTTGCATTTTTATGAACTACTCACTGGAGTTATGAGTTAGGTTATTTTTGATTCAGGTCAAATATAATACTTGCCAAGATGAACTCATTTAGTTGTTGCTATGGGCTGGTCAAGATTCTCCTTGAAACCTGTGGCCCAATAAAGTTCCATCTTAAAGATAAGGATGATTCTTTTAATAATCTTCCTTTCTGCATGTCCTGAAAAGAGAGTTGGAGTAAAATATTAGTGTTAAGGCTGAGGCTTAATATGTCATCACATCAAATATAGTGGTATGAAATCTATCAGTTTGCTGATACCAAGCTCATTCATTCATTTGAAGTTTTCAGATTCCATGTGATAATAATTTCATTATTGGTATTCATCAAGATCCGCCTAGATGGTTGCCACTGACAAGTTTTCAGGTGAATGGTGTCAGAAACACAGCAAAGAAACAAAAGCTCTTCAATTTCTTTTTCTTTCTTTCTTTTTCCCCTTCATAGAGTCAAATTTTCAGACCTTTGGAAGAAACAGTTTAAAAATATACCTGAACGTTCTTTGCATATTCTTTTCACATCTCTACAAGTAATGTGTCACAGAACAGCATGAGCTTAAAAAGCTGGTTACAGAATCCTGTTGCAGAATGCCAGCTCTTTCAAAACTGCTTGATACATGTATACAACTTAAACTGCATGAAAGGAAAGGAAATGTGCTTCTTTTTTGAAGGTGTAAAGGAAATTGTGTAGTATTTTCTTACTTTGCTTTCTTCTATCCGGTGGCTTCTCTCTATGTCTCATCACAAACAATAGAACAGCTCAATTTTCTTTTTGGCTAGACTCATCAAGAATACTGGAAAAAATGTCTGTCTTCTTAATGTAGTTGATGAACAATTTGGTTGATGCTTTGTTTGCATAAGCAGAACTAACTTAGTGAAGTGTTTTCCTTGCTGAAGGCACCACGGATGTGTTATTTGAATGTTGTGGTGGAGTGGGTCTCTGAACACACATTTGTTCCAATGAGTGTGGTTATAAACATTCACTAGTGGAGACTGGGGTATTGTAAAGCCTAATCTTTTCACATATTATTTTTGTGTCGGGATATTTTTAATATGCTTACTGACTATGCCCATATGCTTTGAAATTTTTGTCCTGTATATTGCCTTATTATTGCTTACCAACAAATAAGGTAATGCTGGCCAGGCAGAAAGAGAACAATAGATGATGTTTTCTTTCTGCTCAGACAAAAGCCAGCCATAAGAGCTGTTCTTTAAGTAACAAGCCCACATGCTACCTTATAACTCTCCAAATGGAATGTCAAGACTGTTATTTCATAAAATTATTATCAAGTCAAAGTCAACCATCGACTTTCAAACTCTAAAAGAAAATCAATAGCTTGTTTTTAACATGCATTTTTCACTCAGATTATGACTATTGCACTATGCTCTATAATATAAAGGAAACAGGTTAGCAAGTGCTAAAAAGGATTGCTTCAGGGTACATACAGCTGATGCTTTGATAAACAATTGTTGGCTGTTTTATAAAGTTAGAGACATCTATTTGGAGCAGAACTACCGTCAGTTCAAAAGCTACAAGCTGTCAGTGAGAAGTGTAAGTACCTGACCTTCAGCGGCCTGATCTATACAACACAATATACATATCCAATATCTGATTTTCGTGAGAGACAGCAATTAGCAGATGATCTGTGACCAGTGTGTTCAGCCAGAAGGATTGAAAATTTCTCCATAAGATAGTACTAACCTAAGTAAAAATGCCACTTCCTAATAAATAAAGCAAATATATATTACCTAATAACCCAGGAAGCAACTTAGCTTTCTGGTTTATTCTTTTTATGTGTTGCTATTCATCATTTGGCTGCCATCTGTAGTTTGAGCTGCACACAGATAACATGTGCCTAGTTTCATCTAACCTTAGTTAATCATTCCTTGTTAAAAGAGAATGCACTATATTATATCCTACTGCTAAACTAAAATATATGACTACCCCAAAAAATCACCAGCATGATCAATTTCATGCACTTTCCCATTTTTGTGAATTATTGTAGTACATTTAAAAATTTTTGCCACTGACTTCTGTCCTTCTGAAGCAGCCTTACTCTCTTATACTTCTATACTAGTGTATCTACAAAAATCAAACTGGTATGTAATATCCATACTTAGCAAACCGCATTTGGAAAGTAAGAAAGGATGGTCTCTCCAATTTTACCCGTTCTAAAGCCATACTCAAAACTCAAGATGATTTTATTCGGGACCTTCTAAGAGCAATCATATGCCTCCTTTCTCAAAGAAACTTGGGAAAAGAGCACTTGGTTTTTACGAAATGCACAGACTATGCAAAGTACTTAAGTCAGTCTATAGGAATCAAAATTAAGTCAGCCAGTTATGTGAGATGCATAACTCTTTTGCTTTCTGCTCCTGTAGCCAAACTCCAGACCTACGGCACAGAGCGGCAGGCACTCAGTGTCGGTGGAGACGCAAATGCAACGCCAGAGGCAGGAGGAGCGGGAGAGTTTCCAGCAAGCCCAGCGCCAGTACAGCTCTTTGCCTCGGTAAGAGGACTCCGGAGTGTCAGGTCTTCCCTGTCCTTCGGGAAGCCCCTCCTTCCCAAAGTTGTACTTTCTCCAACTAAAATCCGGCAGTCGTTGAGGGTGAGCAGAGTGACTGGATGCTCAGCTCAGCCGACCCCTTGACTGTATGGCACTAAGCCTGGGGAAAGGTGTTTCAGGAGATGCCAACGTTTTCTCCCCAAAACCCCCTAGCCAAAGTTGAAGTGATGCGACATCTGAGTGCTGGGCTTAGAGATCTCAACCGGAATCTAGATTTGGTTCCTTCCTCCCATGTGGCCATGGACAAAACAATTTCCTCATATGAAATATGGAAAAATGAGCCCTTATTTTGCTTCGTTCATAGGGTAATTAGCATAATCAATACGTCATGCATCTAGAGCTCTGCAGAGGTACAGGGAGTGAATACACTGTGTTCTGTACTTAGGCTGCATCAGTTGGCCTCTCTCGCTTTCTTTGCATCCCTGCTGGTGCACCTCAGGGAGTCCCTGGGATGCCCACCTCATTAGCTGAGAGCCAAGTCAGCAGGGATTATCTGTCAGGCTCCCCACATGGAGACATCTCTAATTAAGTGTTCTCTGCCAAAGGCCTGGAAAGTGCGCTCAGCTGACTGAGCCCAAATTCAATGAAATAATAGCCGCTTTCCATCTACATATTTCCTAGCCATGCACAGTAAAAAATAAAAGTGGTTTAAAACATTAAGCTTTCCAAATGTCCCCAAAGAAGTCACTTCTGTAGTCACAAATCTTAGGGGCATTTGTTGTTCTATGTCAAGATCAGATGACAAAAATATTTTGGGTGGAAGAAAATTGAATGGTATTATCTGGGCAGTGGCTATATATATATATAGGCAAAGTGCTGGGCCTTGTGTGTTTTATCTGTGTTTGACAGTATAGTAGATAGAGGCTAAATATCTTATATACACTCATATAAAAACAGGAAGGAGGTAGGAAATCCACAAGGCTGGGAAGGTCCATAGGAGCGATGGTAAGGGGAGGGCCTTCAAGGGCAGACAGCCTGATACAAGAAAAGTCTCTTGGTTCCCATGCTTATGCGAAGGACAGATATGAATGCAGATGTTGCCCCTGAATTTCTCTGAGTCACTGTCCAAAATGACTCAATATTGCAAACTGATTGTTTTATCCTGGACGCCCTCTCCATCTTCAACTCTCACTCATGCTTCCTTCCTTTCCCTCCTCTCCCTCTGAAGCATTTGGAGAAGCACCTATAGGAACTGTCTGTTAGTGTTCCCCTAAATAACTAAAACTGTTTCTCTGGATGAATTATGTATCCCTTCTTATTAACTTAACAATGTGTAGATATGAGAAATGCAGAAATCCCTAAATGGAAGAGTTGGACATATTTAGGCAAGTGGAACTTGCCTAATGTTCTCTTTTTAGAAAGTAACTTTTTTTGTTTGTTTGTTTGTTTGTTTATTACAAGAGTTTATTTTTACATCATTTTGTACATTTTTTTTTCCATCTCAATTGTAATCCCCTTGGGTTTCCCATCACCAAGTCACCCATATGCCATCACCATAATCCCATGCATTTCCCTCCCCCCACCCCGTTTTTGATCCCATTCCCCACTCCACCCCCACAAAAT